AAAAGGTTTATAAATATAGAACATTTTTAAAAAAATTGCCTCCATTCATATTCCTTAAGGTTCTTTCGTAGACAGTTACTTAGCTTATAGCCGAGCTCACATTTGTTGCTATCCTTTAGTTCTAGGCATGGCTCTGCATTCTTGATTCCGTGTATTTCGACCTTTTCATTTACAATTACCTTCGTCATTTCAAAATAACAATGATAAAAGCACTTGATTTTCATATCTTTGGGACGGCTTATCAATATGTTTGAGGTTACTCCCTCCTGCTTAGCGCATACCTCTAGTTTTTCATCCTTAAATATCCGGTATTTATATATTTGTTGTGAGAAAATACTATATTATTACTCACATTACTAAAATAACCTGATGTCGAACCGATCACGAGCAAGAGAACCACGGCAGCCAATTTGTTCATTTCGAGAACTCATTCTGATCAGTAATCAGTTAAGGCAGCTTATATCTATAAGTTTACTCGCTAAGCTGCTTGAATACTTTTTCCAAACTAATCTTTTAACGATTTTACTTGCATATTTCGTGTTCAAATTGTAATTTTCTGGTCATATATATAACAGGTATTTATTATCAAAATTATAATAAATATTATGAAGTCTCACGTCTTGATGTATACTTTTTTTAATTTAACATATAAATTTATTAAACGTCGATTAACCAACTTAATGGCTATAAAACGTTGCATATAAAAAATAAACAGTTAACATGGATACATAACAGAAAGGTGATTAACAATTTTTATAATAACCGAACAAAAATCGATAAAAAGTATAAAAAAAATTGCATTAAATGGTTATTTATATATGTATCAATACTTAAACACAGGGAATAAACTTACTTAGTCGGTTATAATGCAACATGACGAAAATATTAGTGGGCATTGAAAATATTTGATTATCGTGCTGTGAAATGGGGTATGAGAATAGTGAGCGCAGCTAAAGTAAATGCCAAAAATCAATGGAAAAGTGTTCATAGGTGAGCAGCGATAATGAGCTTTAAAAATTGAATTTTCTATGTTAGTGCTCAATGAACTGTGCATAAACATTTCCAACTAACAATTTATGCCGCTTAAATTGCCATAATTCTCTGAAATACATTTTAATCGCATTGTTACTCGCATTTGTGTACGCAAAGTGACGTGAAAATTCCCAGAACTTAGACACTTACCATTTAAATTATATAAAGAAAAAATATAACACAAGACAGAAGCACCACAAAAAAACAGAGAGGAGGCAAATGAGGTTCCTGACAGGTTAGCTATATCATTACACGAGGCTTATTTCCTTGTGGCATTAGCACCTGCCCTTTCCCAGACTGGTGTACACACGAAATACAAGAAATAAATTCTTATAGACAGTCTTCAAGGTTTGCACGCGTCGAAAATTAATACAGGCCAAGCTGCAAAAGGCAAAAAACCGCCAAGAAACCGCTGGCCAGAAGGCAAAAAAAAAAGGGAACTGAAGTTGGCAAGCTGCTAAAAGTCGAAATACACCTGCCCAGGCACACTCCAAAAATTTTCATTCACAAGGGGCAAACCTACAAAATTAGTTTTATGCCGGCACATACATAACATATATGCCAAGTCTTTTTCTTTCATTTGGCCTCTTTTTTTTTGTAGCACAACTGGAAAATTGAGGATGTGGTTAGGCGCCGGGGAAGAGTGGAATTCACCAAATCTCTTTTACCCACATTGAGCTCGTTGTAGAGATATCCGTCCATATGTACTGTCAGCTTTATAATCCGCAGACGATTTACGTAGGCAAATTGAATTAGGGCTGCAAAACCTCGGCAAACAGAGTGGACTTAGAACCCGATTTGGCTTAATGCCGCAGCCAAAGCTAAAATGTGTTAGCAGACAACTTTTTAGCATAAATCCTTCACTTCACAGTACAGTGCAGTGCATTGAACCAACGGCTCAAGCCCAGGCCACGCTAATCGGTGTTGCCCAACTAAGACCACTCGGCAAGTAAGCCACTTGCTCTGATTAAAAGCAGCAAAAAACACGCAGAAAGGAGTTAAAAAATGAGTGCAAATTATATGACGAACGGGTTATGGGGTTGCGTACGAGAGCTTTAAGCCATAAAGAGCAAATGATGTTGGTACTAGCCTACATAAGGCAGCTCTTCAAGCTGCCGACTGACCGCGTTTGGCTCTGGCCACAGAACAGAAAGCCGATGTGATGTATGTGCTCCATTTGGATGGATTCCAAGCTGTCCTTAGGTCCAAGTGCCCGCCTCATTACGGAGCCCATCCTTTTCATATTTTCCACTTTTTGGTGGGCTGGAAAATTGAATATTTCAGCATAAAGGAAAAACGGGAGGGCATTTGTGTTTTTTATTCATTTTTGGTACAAGTAGGAAAAGGTGCAGCAGCATCCTTCTATTATATTTAGAAACTTGACTTGTGAAGATGTCTGAGTCTTGGAAAAGAAATCTAAGCTTTCGCACAAGTTCCAAATTGTTTTCATTTTTTATACTAAGTGTAAGGTTTTTTAATGTTCGCTTCAAATATTTATTTTTTAGCCTATCTTAAATGGTTTTTCTTATAGTAAACAAAGGAACTAATTAAAATTTACCGTCACAAAATGATAATTACGAGGCACTTAGATGACTACAACTATAGTTCTGCATTTTATAATTAATTTTTTTTATTCATTATTTATTATTATTATTATTATATGAAATTATATATTGTTGAAATTTATTATAAAAATACAAATTGTATGGTATGTTCGATTATGTTTTAAATTTTCTGTACCACTTGGACAGAAATCTAATGTAAGATAGTGTTCTTGGCAGCAGTTTTAACTACTTCTATGCACTCTACTCCCCATCTGATCATCCAATGCCGCCTTAGTAGCACCTATAAAAAGGTGAATTTTTGCCACCTCATGGCTGGAACTTTTTCCCAAGAAAATTGCATTCCTTGCTGGGATACTCGTACATATACATTCATCAGCCTGCATCTGCATCGGAAAGTGCCGCATAATTACAACCCCCGGTCGTACCTTCTCATTTGTGAACATCTCTTTCCATCCCGGACTTTTTCCCTGGATCTTCCCCTTCTCGGCTTGATCATAAAGTTGCGACCCCAAACACAAAATGCTGGTCATTTGTTTTTATGTAAATACAAAATGTGCTGCCATCTTGCTGTTGTTAAGTTGGCTTATGCACATTTCCCGCGCTCCCCCAGAAACCCCTACTACTTCTACTCCATAAACTGAATTCATCCTGAAGCAGTATTTATTTTTTGGTTGGTGTAAACATTTCTATTTGGGCTGGCAGTTTTTGGTCAAAAGCGCAAAACATGTTCCTTATTATTATTTTTTGTGCAAATTCACTTCCGCCAGAAAGCCGAAAATGAGCAACGAAAAGCAGCAGAAAATTGCTAGCAACTTCTTTTCTTCCCTGCGCTGGCAGAAAACATTTTCTTTTGTGCAGTAAAAATAAATAACAGTTTATGAAAATTTGCCAAAAAGTATCAGCAGGCCAGAACAAGAACAAAGTGCGGATTGGGAGTGAAGTGGAGTGGCTTTTCCTGTTTCGCCGTGGTCTGAGAACCATTGTAACCGAAAAAAGCTAAAAAGCTGCCCATTTAAAAGGCGTTGACACTCCCCGCCAATTCGTTCTCTAGCCCGCCTGAAATTTGTGCTAACGAGTTGTCGTTGTTTGCTTTCCTCAACTGGAGGGCCGGGTCTTCAATAGGCCCATGCGATGAGTCGGGCTGAAAAGTTCCCCCACGCTCCGTCTCGTCTTTGTGCTAAATTGAACCAATTTTTTTTGCTCTTCCTCTGGTTTTTCCTATGTTTTTGTTTTCTACAAACATATTCTGTTTTTATGCTGCTGCTTTTTTTCTTGTTTTTGCAGTACTTTGCACGTCAAGTGAGTGAAAACCCAGCGCTGGAGAATGTGATTTCCAGCCTGAGTGTGAATGCGAATGCGCTTTCAAAGCTCGGCTGCTGTCTATTCATGCGTGCCACACATCGGCAGGGGGTGGTGGTGCGGTGGTTGTGGGGTGGTGGGTCGGTGGGTTGGTGGTGCAGGGCCTTTAGTTCCTACATGTGTGTATACACACTCATGGAACACCACCCGGATTTCTAAGGATGAACAACGATGAGCCAGAGTCGTGAAATTGATATTGTTGTACTTTATGTTTATGTCGAATCATTATCGTTGCCTATCATGGCCAATTCTGATTATAAGACCAATTGTGATTAGGTATTTTGCCTGATGATATTTGATCGGCAAAGCCAAATAATTTGATTAATTGGTTCCCTGCCTAGCTTAAAGACCAAGATAACAGAGTTTCAAGCGCAACATTAAAAGCAATAATTATATTTTGACTGAATGTTTAATTTTTTTTTTAATTTTTACGAAATATATTTTTCACTCCTTCTGATAACTAATTATAATAAAATTCTCTCATTTATGCATAAGCAAGACTGTCGTGCTGCAGCAATTGATGTAAGGCCATTCTATTAACAACATCTGAAAGACATTCAGCTATATAAGATTAAAATAACTAGAATACCATGCACCAGGCTTCAAAAAGAAAAGGTCAGAAAATTAAGCCAAATAGAAAATAATATGCATGAGCGAAAAAGAAGGGCCCACTCTTAAGGACTGTAAGTTCTTAAAGTAAACTACTTAAGTTTTTAGGGTTTTCGAAGCATTGATAATACTTATATCCCAGCTCACATAGATTGTCATCCTGAATATCCAAGCATGTATTCTGTTGATTTGTCGAAATACCCCTGTTCGAAAGCTCCTTTTGGATGATCTTGCCATTTGAAATAAATTTTTGTTTTCCCAAAATGCAATGGAAAATGTACTGTTTAATCAAATTAGCCCATTTAAGGTAATCCTTTATATATATATTTAAAAACCGCTGATGGTTAAATAACATTCTGATACGAATAATTGTAAGAAAAAGCCATATTTATTTATTATGCAAGTGGGATGAGACCCAGTTTATTAATACCAGTTCAGTAAAATTAGGGCAATCCGTCGATGTCCTTTTTAAGGCATTCGAATACCAAAAATCCGAGCTCACACTTGTTGTTGCTGGGATATGTTATCTTCAGGCATTTTTTAATCACTTTAGCATATTTGTCGTAGTTCTCCTGTGTTAAGTTTAGTACGGACAGGTTGGGTTCGTCGACTCCATTGGCAACTAAATCAAGCTTTTCCAATTGACAAGCGTAAAAGCACTTGACTCGACTACTGTGGGGATTGTTGTCAAGAAAGTATGGGGTAATTCCGCCCTTTTTTGCGCACTCATTTGCTACCTTTTGCTGATTTTGAATTTAATTATTTGCTTATAATTTTTGTGACAAAGAGAAAATAAAGCTTTACTTACGAATATAGCTGAGGCCAGAGGGCCGAGCGCCATCAAGATAACCAAGGCACCCAATACTTTCATTTTGAGAACTGATACGATTCGGGGCCATTCCTCCAGTTTTTATACGTTCTTCCATTGAGTCTTTGAACTTTGCTTAGGCTAATTATTCCATCGAACACTATATTTCGTGATAGAAACTACATTATCTGTAAACTCTTTATACAGTGATTAATGGCTAGGCAAATGCCTACAAAGTTAAAATATGCAAACGTCCTTTTGAGGGTTGTTGAATAAGATCTGTAATAACTCCAGATTATTAAGTATAATCAGCGTTAATAAATGACTACCAACGGAGGGTTGTAAATTGACCATTACTGTTTGTTTAAAGTTATACTTACTATTTATATAACCTATTTATAAAATGTATAATTTTTAATCAATTTTAATTTCAATTTTCTTGAAAGACCTGATGTATTGCAATAAGTCTTGTATACATTTAGGTAACAATATACTGAGTTGTGGGTAATCCCTCTGGTTTTTTGTCAACGCTTTAGGGTTATATTAGGTGTATCTTATAGTCAGCACGAGCTCATTGCACTTGGCTTGCCATTGCAGATACGAGCAGCTTGTTTGGAAGTGGGTGTGCGTAAGGTGTCAGTGGCACCTACCACGATGACGTCGGGTATAAGTTGATACTCCTACATCACCGCCAAGACCCCCCCTCCCCTGCAAACCAGTCTTGGCCAGGAGAGGATGGAGCTGAAGCTGGATGCAGATGCAGATGGAGTCGAGGCTGCGGTGTCTGGGCCTTCTGGCTGTTTTCTGTTTTCCGCTGGCGAACTGTTGACTGCCAGCTTGCCACTTCACTTTGGAGGGGTAAAGGGGGTACTGGGTGAGGGGTAGGAGGGTGGAGGTTGGTGGGTGTGGATACAGCCGGGTTTCCATTGCATTTTCGGTCATTATTCAACGTCATTGCAGTTTGCTGCTGCGGTGGCAGCTTCAATGATGCATAATTTGTAGCGTTATATAAATGCAAACTGTGTTGATATTTTTTATGCTAATTGCATGCAAGTAAAACTTACACACACACATACACACAGCCGGTACACTGTAATTACATGAGCCGGGGTGAAAAAAGAAAGTTGACAGTTAGGTGGCGTCAACGGCAGCGGCAGGTACCAAACAAGTTGCAACTGCAACAGCAACAGCAATTGTTGTCGCTCCTTATGACGCGACAGTAACGAGCAAACAAATATACAAACATCTGTACAGTATGTGTTTGCAAAATATACGTGTTTGTATCTGATATATGCAATTATGCATGACGCGCTCTCTCAGATCTGCAAAAGATACAGTTGCCGCAGGCGAGTATAAAAAAAATATTGGGTTAAAGATGTGTAACGTGCGAAGTTGGCAAGCCAAAGGTTTTCTCTATTGAAGTATAGAGCTAAGTGGGCTTTGAGAGCAATGCTGAAGGTAAAAGCATCGCATGCTAAAGACCTTATAGACCTGTTTGACTTTTGACTTGCAAACGAGATATATTGGAAATGTTTTACACTTGTTCTTTAGCTTACCATGCATTTTTTTAATAAGTCTATTAGAACTAATTAAGTCCTTAAGCCCATCTTAAGAAGCCAATCTGAAGAGATTAGACACAAAAGCGATCCCCTTACCAATTAATGGTGTATTACCCATAAGAACCATCTCCATTTAGACATAAATTCTCGCCTGCAAACATCGCTCCATGAGCGATTTATGAGGACGAGTGAATAATTGGCAAACAACGCCGTCTGGTAATTAATAAAGTTTAGCTTAAGTTGACGGCAAGCGTATTGGCAGTGCCATAAAAGCACTGTCGTAAAACGCGCTCCGAATTACACGAAATGCTGCTCCCCGAGCGGTGGCAAGCATAAAAATTCATCTGAAGCGCTCTCAATAAATTATCAAAAGCCGAATGGGAATACTCGATGAGCAATTGAATATGCGATTTCTATGGTCATTAATCTCGTTCGTTCGGTGATACGATACGCTGGCAGCTAAACAGTTCCTAACTCGATTTCCAATAGCTCCAGCCAATTTGGCTATGCAAATAGCTGGAGTTGAACGCTCTGTGTTTTGTCAGTTTCTTTTTTTCTCTTTTCTTTTTATCAAGTACTGCCAATTAACAAGCCCTAGACATAGGATGTCTGTGTGTGTCTGCGAATCGATATTTACTCAATTAATTTATAACTTCCGCCAGTAGAGGGAGATGGCCAGAGTCGAAGCGACAGCGATTTTTCATTCATAAAAAAAGAGGCAGTCGAACTGATGAAGCTCCGCCGATGTCGCTGCCTGTCAGCGGGTTTTTCAAGCCGAGTTGCCCGCTCTCTGCGGCACAGGAAGCAATCATCGTGCTACAAGTCATATTAACTTACGCTGGGCGCACAAAAAATAAGTATATACCCATATATACCCATCTGGTGGAAAAGACGGACCCAGAATCACGGCAAAAACAGAAGCAGCAGCTGGGAGCTAAGAGCTGAGAGCTGAGATCTGTGAGTTGGGAACTGGGATCTGAAAAGATGGGGTTCGATTCGGATCCGATCTGGTCAGCATATGTTGTCCGGCAACTTTGCGCATGCGAAAGTTGCACTCGAAACTATCAATGAAGGAGGACCCAAACCGGACCTGTTCCCCTCCGAAGACCCCTGGTAAAGGCCCCCTCTCTATAAAAGGCTTCCAGACGAAATGCGAGCAGGTGCACCACTTACCTATACTGGCAAACATTTCATAATGATGGATGGCCAACACAAACACACTGGCGCGCCTAAGCCGGTTTTTTCGAACAGCGTCAGTTGTTTGTATCTTTTTGTTTTGTTATTTTTTCTCATTTTCTCGTGTTGCCTCAATTAAACTGCCAGGGACGTGGTCGAAAACCCACAAAAGTGTACGGTAACTCTTGGCCCAAAAAAAAAAAACGAAAAAGAATATAGAAAAAAGAAGCGAGATACTTGTGAAAACTGAATTAATAACGAGTCGCGTCAATGTGAGAATTATATCAATTTTCAGTTGCAGATGCCAGGCATGTAAAGTTAATATTTAGCACTAACGAACTTTTCATGGAGTCCCCCCCAAATAAGATGATTGATGGTATCGCTCAGAGTTAATAGAATGACAATAACCGGCAGGCCGTATGAGTGATGAGGGTGTGAGAATGCCAAATTGTTAGGGACATGAGTTTTCGGAAACCGATGTTTTCGTGTAGATAACATGGAGGAATACAAAGCGATGTACAAGAATGTTTGATACAGTATCAGTGTTATTTCAGAAATTATTTAGTTCTTGAGATGCAGATAATCAAGAACATTTTACCCCCAAAGTTCCGTTCAAAGGGAGTTCACTAGAGGTATGCCCGTAATCAGTTTGTCCCAATTTCTCAGGCTCTAAGAGCTCTCGAGTGGAATTACCTTTAGCTGGCGGCATTTTTGATTCGATTTGATTCGGCTCCACAGCAGTGTTAATTTTGACAAATGAACATTTTGGTTGCTGGGCATGTAGAGCATGGGGAACAATCTGCCAGCTTATCTATAATTTACATGTTCTGACTAAACTGGGACTCCACACAAGGCACCATGTGGCTTTGTCTCTGCTTAATTGCGGCCCATCGACTTGGCCTTTTGTGCTGGCCGTTGTCTTGGCCTCAAACTAATCAGCTCGCAGCCATTAATCTGGGCATAGTGGCTTGTTTCGATGCAGCGGTATCTCGATTATCTAACTTTCGAGAGAGAAGTTGTGGCTGGTCGAACGTTATGCCCGAGCAGTTTCTAAAACGCCGCCAGATAACTTGAATTTCTGGCTCTTTGGTGACGCTTGATGCTTGACTGGCTTTGTAGTTCTTTTTTAGGTTTTTGTTTCAGCCCCATTATGAGCCAAAAGTGCAAAATAAAAATCTGTTTTATGTCCCCCCATTAAAATCTGTGTTGGCTCTAAAATGGGATCCGCTGGCAATTGCAGCGGTGTTTGAGTTTGGCCCGCATCTTTTCACACGCTGCCTACATAAATCTCGAAAAGTTAATGAACGCATCCTTGAAACAACACATTTATTTATTCACAAAAGTATGGATAATACCGACATTTTGCCCGGCAATCAGCCGACCGTTAAGCTTTATAAAAACAAATGGGTGAACACACGGTCCCACAGTTAACAGCAAGTTTTGAGCTGCATACATAAATAAAATTAAACAAAACATAACAAAAACTAATAAAAACAAAAAGAAAACTTTAAGCCTGGCCCAAAGTGTGCGGGTGCCAAAACAAATAGTAGGAACTACGATCGTTTATGTGTATTGATTATACTTGCAAAATATTTTAAATAGAGGAAATTGTATTTTCCCATCGTAAAACATACAAAAGAAAATTTTAAATATGCTGTTCAAATGGTATATTTACAATGGATGAGTTTATGTGGCATATAATTTTATGGGTTTTTCGTTCCAATATCCTTTTGAATTTTTAATAAGAAATTTTGGCAGAATTCGTATGTTTCTAAGACTTACACACGTTAAAGATACATATTTTATAATGTTTCAAACTGGAAAATGCTGAATGTTGCTGATTTTATAAATCGGATTTGCATAGTTATGAATTGGTTTATGGGTTTCCGTTCAAATATCACATTGAATTTTAATGAACACTGTTTTTTAGTAGTTTCACAAGACTCGAAGACTTGACTAAACTAATTTTGTCTCGCAAACAAAGTTCAGAGCGTCAATAAAAACGGCAAAAATATGTTGTTTGACCTTTCGGCTAGACAGGCCCGACAAGCCGAGTCAGCCAATGTACCGCTCGGGGCCCAGACATTATAATTATGCAGCTGCCACATACACAGGGGCATGCAATGGATGGATGTAGAATGGAGTGCTGGAGGATTGGGGGCTTGGAGGAGCAAGAGGTGCCATCGGTGCAATCGACTCCGTCTTGGCATTTCAGCCAAGCGACAAGTGCAGCCGTCGTCGATCGCCGTCGTTGGCCAATTCAGTGCGGCATTAAACTAAGCCGTTTCAAGCCAAGAAAGCAGCCAAAGCCAGGTGCGTGCTTTGGGT